AATATATTGACTTTACAATCGATTATTGTTTTTACAATCACGAATGCTACGGAGCTACAACATACGTAGTCATGTGTAGCGCATACGTAGCTCCGCTACGCCGTGCGTCTACGACTACGAAAATTACTGAGACTTTAACCTTATATTCCTTGAAAAAATATTGAAATTTTGTAATAAACTTTTTTAAGATTCACAAACTTTTCATCTTGTTATTCAGACAAATTATTATCTGAATCAAAATTTCTGAACATTTTTTCCACTACTAGTTCGTAACTAATCAACTTAACTTTAATAACTACAATCAACATGATATAAATTTTACAAAGTACTCAAGCTTTTAAAAACAATAGCTGCTTACTGATTTCTATATCAAGCCGGCTCAATCTATAAGGACAAAAGAACTATCGAGTATTGAATGGGAAAATATGTATGAAATTTTAAGCAAATTCTGCGATTGTATAAGTTTTCAGTGTTTGTATACTTTTGAAAAATATCTTTATCCAATGTAAGAGATTAATGTCGATAAAAAATCTCCCTACATCTCCAGACCCGTTTTCCCTGTTGTCGTCCATATATTACCACAAAATCAAGTATAACATCGTATAAACACACTTTTATTAAATGGCCTTGTAACAATTAAATACCTACATGTTAAAATCTATAGTTCGTTGTAATTATATATAATGGTAATTATACGAAAACTTGAGATTGCGGTGGTTTGATGATGGAATTGGAAGGTGGCTTGTACTACTTAAACAGAGAGTTAGGACTAAGTCGATATGTCCCTTTCTGCTAATATAAAAAAAGGCTTTTATTATTTTAATTTATGTTTTTTTAACACCAGTTTTACTGTAGCAGGCAAATATTTAGTATGAAAGTATTAAACCTACAACAATCATCCGATCATATGTACATGACAAAGGAACGTTTTGACATGTGAGATACTCTTAAAATATTAACGTATGTAAAACCACTAAACAATTGACTGCCGGTTGTGTGGGAAAGAGTGTTCCCATAACATATGTATGTACAAAGAATAACGTGCTGACAATGGAACTGAACTGTTTGTGGGTAAAACGACAGTTTGATTGAGTCGCTCGCACGCACACTACCGGACTTTATTCACATTTAATCCTTGACCGACACGTTGTTTGACCAGATATCTATCGTATAACTGAACCCTTAATCGTTCGATTCGTCAGCTAGCGACTACGATCCAATATCACGCTATTTAGCTTTGCAGGTGGGCAGAATTCCAAGCGTGACAAATCCGGGGCAAGGTGTGACAATGATCAGAGTCAATGTGACTCTGACAATGGCAAAGCTGTAGAAATTAAAGAATACGACAATACGAGGTTAATTGGTTGTTTGGTAACACGAGTCGATGACCTTCGTAATGTTGATCTCTGCTACTATTACTCGCCGACCAAATTATAAACAATTTGGACGCGATACCAAAGTAATTATATGCGATGTAATATAATTTTGATTTAATACCATCACTTAAATCAAAGAAACATCTTGTAACCCATGATGTAGTCTTTACAGATAGTGTTTTGAATACCAGAAAATCAAGCGCCCTGGTTACCTTCGCTGCTCCTAGTTTTTCAGGAATCACACCTAATCACATGTGTTATGCATGCCATTTTGCATCTATGAGATTTTAGTAGCACAGAGTAAGCATAACACATATTTACATACGTAATTATTGTCACGGTGTGAAAGTCTCACGACCCTGAGTGGTGGTTGCCAACCTTAATTAGTTTAAAAGCATACTTAGATCACCGATGTAGGGAATGGATTTTGTGTTCACGCCATCTTAAATGTCGGGATCACGTTGTAATAGCGTAGGTAAGTCTTATTTTCTTTGTTTAAGATTTCGAGGTTAAATACTTAATATTATGCTGTACATATTTATTTAATGACTTATGTAGTTACTTAGTATAAAAAATAATAATTTAATTATTAATTATCTACAAAATAGTTTTTATATTGCCACATAGTCTTTAACGGAATACAGCCGTATGTATTGCCGTTATATAAATTACCAAAAAATAAATAAGTCCATAATTACTAGCGTCGTCTGTTAGAGACTGTTCTCCGCTCAGCCAGCAGTTGATCTCAGTGACCTTTTTTGTATCCGTATTTCTTATGGTGCTCGTGGTCGCCTTTCTTGCCATGGTCATGATGATGCTTATAGTGCGAGTCGTGTCCACCTGCTTCTTTATGTCCTTTGTGCTCATGGTGGTGACCGCCTTTTTCATGAAATCCTTTTTCACCGTGTTCCTTTTCATGATGGTCACCATGATGATGACCTTTGTGGAAGTGGCCACCCTTTTTGTGACCATGTTCCTCGTGGAAACCTCCATGTTTCTCTTCATGGCCTGAATCACCCTCTTCATCAAAGAAGTGTTTATCTTTTTTGAATTCATCAAGTTTGTGTATTTCGTGATGTCCTTTGGTTGAGTGACCCTTATCGTAATGTCCTTTTTCTTCGTACTTGTGCCCTTTCTCACCCTTCTCACCTTTATGGAACTCATCGTAATGACCATCTTCGTGGTGATGTTCTTTTTTGTGCCCACCATGGTCGTCATACTCGCCCTTGTGGTGTTCCTTATCGTGATGGCCCTTCTCACCCTTCTCGTGATGATGATGTCCCTTATACCCTTTCACACCTTTTTCCTCATGATCGTGATGATGATGGGCATGATGTTCCTTTCCACCTCCTTTTTTGTACTCATGATTCTTCGGTGCTTCTTTTTTATGATCCGTGGCAGCGGATTCTTGATCCTTAGCTTCTAGATCTGCACTTTGTTCAAGACGTCGCGCGGGTAAACGACGTGAATGCACAACTGCCAAAATTGCCAGAAAGCCTAACACTAATAGCACCCTCATAGTGCGAGGCTTCAGTTATCCCGCGGCGCTGAGACTGTACTGTACTCTTAATATTGACAACATCATTGATGGTGCAGCAGTTTTATATAAGGCATTGTGTAAGCTGTGCTAATCGCCGCGTCGCCGTCGCGCGTCAGACTCGGCGGCCACGAGTTGCAACAAGCGCTTGCTGGAAGATGCTTTGTACCCAAACTAGTTTGTATTAATTATAAATCATAATAATATTAATTTCAAAATAGTAAATAAAAAAACCGAATAATTTGAGATATGTAACTATTTTCTGTACCTTTTTTAGGTTTTTATTTAGTTAAAGATCAAAAAGGAAGTAATTTTATAATAAAATATACAAACATGTAATAAATAGATAAAAATATACATAACATAATATACCGTATGTTTAAAGTTTGTCGACTAAAAATAACTGTGTTAATACTTAATATGTTTTTCCAAAGCATACTGATTATTGTCAAAGCAAAAAATAAATTATTTGTGCCTGTAACCTGTACGATAATAATTAATAAAAAAATATGTTAATAATTTTCGGCAAACTTTAAGACGTAGAATTCAACTTACCGAATAGATATAATCTGTTCTAATATTGTTCATTTTTTCAGGTATGCAGGATGGTTGCAAATATACTTAACAAAAATAAATAAAAAGGTACACAACTAACAAGTCTTTATTATTAGGTAGGTATTCGAACCGTGGTAGACCGCAAGCCTCAAGATTCAACCACTTGTTGCGCAGGATAACATTAACCACACGAGGCCTCAATGTACATTATTATTAAAATATGACTATCTCAAAACATACTAATCTCTGAACAAAAATACAGCTGAAACTAAACTCATTCGTGAGAGCCATACTCGTAGTGGCACTGTGCCAACACAGCTAACTGCATTTCTTGTCATTTACAAGCGACGAAGTCCAATATCGTGCAAAGTGGAAAATAATTATCATAACACTTTTTATTGACTTAGAAATGAAATCTTAAAAAGAATTTATGAATATACAGATATTTCTGGAGTATTATTCTTCAATGTGAAAGTTGTTCCTTATTTAATTTTCATCTTGTATAAATTTATGTCTCTTTACTGCTAAGTAATAATGTATTTTTTAAATAAAAAAAATAATACATATTCTTAAATTTTGTCTGATTCCACAATATTAAATAAAAAAGTATGAAAGTAGGCAAAGGTCAAGGACACTAAAACTGCTGTTCAATCAGAACCAAAAATAAAATCTTTAATTAAATACTTTCAACAGTTGATAAAATTAAACTTTTAAAAATACTTAGGCGTCAAATCACAGCGTCTCTCTTATCTCACTCGCAAATTAGTAAAAATTCTTGTACAATAAATCGTGTTGTTTATGCACGATTATATTTCCTTCAAACGGAATTGGTATCACAGATAAAGCCTTGTGCCCACTTTACATGTTCAATAAAGCGTGAAGCGGCGAAAATAATCGTACGTGCTATTGAAAATATCCGACCGGCTAACTGGCTTCTATGTATTTTGCCCAGTGATTTTGTGAAACCGATCACAACGGAAGATGGCGGAGATGCTGCTCTCTGCTGCAAACATGCTAGACACTATTTATCCAGGGTTTTGTTAGTGTATTAGCTCTTACAAGCGGTGTCTATTGAGAAATGTTATCAATTTCAGTGGCTGCAAGTGTTTTCTATAGGATACGGTTGATTGCAACCACGACTAATTCGTTGCCCAGTAAAATGTAGGCCAATCTCGGGCAGCGCTCTAGTTTCTCAACGCTGAGTTACTTATCTCGTCGGGAGCTGTTGCCAACGGACCAACGCCAACTATTTTATGTAACTTTGTTGTCGAAACGTGCTGTGAAATTGATAAGTTTGTTTTGTATCTGCACCCAATTGCAAGTTTTTTTGTTTAATAATTCAATAATAACATATTTTCTTGATTTGTTTTCATTGCAATTAGTCTAAGTCATTGAAATAGGTACACGAAACTATTGCTTATGTTTCAAAAACATTTATTTTTATTAATAACAAAACATCACAGTCAACAATACTTAACACATTATGAAAGCTTAATTAGATATAACTAAATAAGGACTTCATTAACTCGAATCGGCAGATTTCAGTCTCAGAGAAACATTTACTTGTGTCCCTTCTTGTGGCCCCAGTGCTTGTGGTGCTCATGGCCACCCTTCTTTCCGTGGTCATGATGATGATGATGATGGTGGTGGTGACCATCTTCTTCATGATGTCCCTTATGGTCGTGGTGATGTCCTCCCTCCTCGTGGTGACCCTTCTTACCATGTTCATGCTCATGGTGGCCGTGATGCTTGTGTCCCTTGTGGAACTCTCCTCCCTTTTTGTGTCCATGCTCCTCGTGATGCCCGCCGTGGTGCTCGTGGTGTCCGCCGTCATGGTGATGATCATGGAAGTGCTTTTCTTTCTTAAACTCGTCGTGCTTGTGTACTCCGTGATGTCCCTTGGTGGAGTGTCCTTTATGGTAGTGACCCTCTTCGTGATGACCATGTCCCTTATGGCCCTTCTCGCCATGGTGGTGTTCATGGTGATGTCCATCATCGTGGTGATGATGCTTCTTGTGTCCGCCATGTTCGTCATGATGACCTTTGTGTCCTTCATGATGGTGGTGACCTTTCTTGCCGTGCTCGTGGTGGTGGTGTCCTTTGTATCCTTTGTGTCCCTTTTCCCCGTGATCGTGATGATGATGAGCATGGTGTTCATGTCCGCCACCCTTGTCCCACTTGCCACCATGATGGCTGGCCGCTACCTCCAAGTCTGCATCGCGTTTCTCCCGGGTAGTTCTACAGCTTACGTACGCTAGCGCCGCAAGGGCTACGCAGCAGACCAGTGAAGCTCTCATATTTCCAGTGCACTGATCTGATCTAAGCAGTTGACTGATACCTGTGTTCGCGACTGCTTAGTTTTATACTGGTAGCCCGTTTGGTTGGTATTGTATGAAAATTGTGTAAAGCTCCAAGGTTGCAGCTACATGGCGTAGTCGTACAACGGGTTGCGCAGTTCCACCCGGTGTCTCAACTTGAATATTGTTGCTATACCCACTGATAAAAAACATGGATTCACATACGTGACAAAATAATATGACTACAAGCTATCACAAAAACATTAATGGAATAACCGATTGTTTCACTACCCCATATAAGATCCGAATAAACTTATGAGACATAGTTTATACCAATTCAGTTCCATATTCAATTTTATCTGGTACATCACTATTTACCAGATAAATAGCCACTGCTATTCAGACATTGTGAAATAGGCCGATTTTAGACGGGGGAGATCATCAAATGGCTGTTCCCACCCTGGACAGGGCGAGTGGGGACGTCCTTCTTACTGACTTTAAGGTAGGTACATTATTGAGACCTGTAACACCGGAGGTCTTTAAGCTAATAAACTTAAAGTGAACGTTTTTTTGCAACAAATACCTATCGTACTGCGGAATAACAAAATTCAGTCCCAACCATGTAGATTAACTTTCAATACCTATAAGTTACTATTGTTTCGGCAGTTGTCCATTGAAAGGGCTGCGCCTATTGCGATATTATTAAGAAAGCGACTTGGGAAATAATTGGAAAAAGTGTTCTACACTATGCAATACCGAATCAACAGTGAAACAGACTTACCACAATAACAATTCAATATTTTCCTAATTAATTTAATTTTAGTAGGGTAGTAGCAATAAGAGAAAATGTATGTACCTACATATACATTTTTATTTAGAAATAAGAAGGAGCCGCAAGTTACTTCCAGGTTCAATCTGCTTATTACTGACACGAAATTGACTTTTATTATGATGAGAAACATTTTGCAGAAAAGCATAATAATAATAACAAGATTGACCTCTAAAATCGTCGCAGTCTACGGTGGTCGTGCACACATTTAAAGTTGCACCGGGCTCACACTGTGCAACGTTGTTGTTTGTTGTTGTGTTACATTACAACGTATGAAAGTTGATAATTGCTTGATATTTCAGAAATGAACACCGTCTCTGAAGATGAAAAGATAAGGTAGTTTGGTACAACCATTCGACGGGCTATGTCTGGTGGCCCCGAGTTTTCTGATGCATGAGGGGGTTCGAAACCTGGTAAGTACCAATGTGACTTTTCTAAATTATATGTATGTAATGTCTAAGATTATATTTAGACACCACTGGCATTCGGTGGAGGAAAACATCGTGATGGAACCTGAACTTATAATTCGAATTATAAGTTTGAAATCCGTCGTAAGCAAGCGTGGTGATTAATGCTCAAACCTTCTCCATGCGAGAAGAGGCCTTTGCTCAGCAGTGCGCACTTATAGACTGATGACGTAATGTGTAATCAATCGAAAGGCTTGTATGTCTTGGTGAAAACAGAGTGGACATATGTAATTGTCACCACCCCTACTCTTTTCTACCCGCAGATGTCGTAGGCGTAAACTGAAGCACCACACATTTTACAGAAATCATTATGCAGTTCTTTCTAATAAACTTTTTAAACTGCGTTGACAAAATGTAAAACCATCTCATTTAGATGATAGTACCACATACTGCCCAGCAGTGGCCGACAACATTCATGAGTAGGCATGACTGGATGATGTTTAAGTTCTTATAAACAGATTTTTATCTTCTCGTCTGTATCGTGAGTTCTGTACGAAGAATAAGTGATGCAGCAAGAGAGTGGAAAATTTTGAACTGCTGTTCTTGCGCGAGTGACGCGGACAGCATCTTGTTTAAAGTTCATATAAAATGCTGTTATTATTGCCATATTCTTTTAGGACGCAATGTCTTCTTTTTTGACCCTGCATTCAGAGTCACATAGAGACAGGAAAGCTATGTAAAACGTTCTCACCTCAACAGCGATTACAATATTATTTCTGGCTAATTTCACTATCGATTGATTGCCCACTTTGAAAGTTACCTATTTAAGATAAAGAATACTGAAGACAGTGCAATAAAATGTAAATATACTGACAGTTCATGGAAACCATGTTCCGTCATTTCCTGGGTTATGAAACAGATTATGAAAAAGCCAAATGATTTTTGCTTAATTTATTGATACAATCCTCAACAACAATTACATGAGCACTACATGATGCCATTATGGTTAATAAGTTTAATCTAAATACTTATTGAATTTAAACTAAATATATTAATTCGTAAAGTAGTTTATATTTATAAATCACAATATATACCAACTTTCAGTTGACAAAATTATTATTTAACTAAAGGAACATATCTAAATATCTTTCGTAGAAACGCATGTGTTTCACACTCTAAGTTAAAATTTACGTCAGTCCTAATTATGGTTCCACAAAATCATATCAAGTGTAACGATATCTACTTATGCCGTAGGCACTGTTATTACTGCTTCATATACATTCAAACATACTACATTCTTGGTTGTATATTCTAAATGAAATAATGTGCCTGACGAAAATGAATACCGTTACACAAATACATGACTTTGTTACCAAATAGCAGCATTTTTTGGTTCCAATACAAATGTTTAACTTTGAAAAGATGTATTTATTTCACGCTATGTTGAATGCTTTCGAACGAAAGTACTATAAAATAATAATGGAAGCACAAACCCAAATCAAAATAAATTGTTTAATTTATATTGCAGATATACCAGATTAACAACTCAACTTGTCTTGGAACAACTTACATAATCTGAAAATAAAACTAAGTATCACCACGCCATACACAAACATTTATCTAAAATTTGCTTGAAACGCTAGATGCCTACTATTTTTATAAATATATCATTAAACACACTCAAATAAAAGTTACTAAAACAAGTTACATATAAAGCAAAGACCAATTGGTGTAAAAAATATTTATCTTATTATTATAATATCAAATACTAGTTAAATTTTTGAATACTTTAGTTAGAATGTTGCAATATTATATTTTCCAAAGATAAGATTATTCGAATATTGCCATAAAATTTTACCAATCATAAATAGGCAGCCTCTTGCATTTTCCTTCATTCACCCCAATCTATAAACCTATATTTGAAATTCATGCAATTATTAAACATAATATTATTTTAAAATAAAATATATTATTGCATGATAATAACGAAAATCACGACGTACAACACTTTTATCTTTCCATGAATAAGATCAATCAATCTTGATATAATAAAATACTATTTATTCCATAGAGTAATTGTAAATATTAATGTCTTGAAAAAATATGCTTCAAGAGATCAGTTCTACATTATGAGCTGACATACTATAATGTTACATATCTATGTTAAGAATAACTAAGTCCTTATGTACTCAGTAAAGTCAATAAGTCTGGCGAGCACTATGGTTTTTTTGCTTAGCAGTCAAGGGTAAAAGCTACTGATGTTGAATAAATAGATAATTGTTTCTAATTCTGCATGTCCATATGCGAGTGCGTGAGTAATGGTGTAGTTATTCTTAAACATTTCAACACCCACCAACTCGGATCTAGTTAATGGTCTAGTTGAGATGGAAACCACGCTCATTTGTTGCTGCCAGGAGCCTTTCTCGGAGAACCTCTTTGCATGAATACTCCGGCAATTTCAAATAGTGAACACACGTATTTACAGATGGATAGGACCCATCTCCGGCATCAACCTGCGAAAATAAATATCGGTGAAAGAAATCTTTTAAATTCAACGATTTACAGAAAGAGCATTAACATTCGGAAAACTTACCTTGCGCACTACAGTAAGTCGCGGATGCAAGTTAGCAAGTCCTCCTGGGGGCAGGCTGCTGCAACCTGTCGCAAACTGCAGGAACGCTTTACGTTCGCGGAGAGACATCTCAACCAGCACATCCACGAGACGAAGGAATCCCGGACTATAAATAGAACAGAACATTTAAGTGTGTAAATTGTACAAGCGTTCATCTTAGACTAGATAGTTTACCAATTATTTTTGTTATGAATTAATGATGATGGAATAACGGGATGAGCACCTGTCGCGCGTGTAGCCCAGCTTAGGCTCGGTGTACTGCAGGAGGTGGTCCCGCGTCCAGACGGGCCCGCGCTCCCCGCAGAGCAGCAGACGTAGCTCGGCGGCGCAGAAGGCGCGCAGTCGGCGCGGCGGGAAGACGGCGCCGAAGCCGCGGCGGAAGGCGGCGACCTGGCGGCGCAGGCCGGCGCGCACGGCCCAGCGCGCGGCGGCGTCGGCGTAGGCGCGCGCGTTGTGGGGCCGCACGTCGAGCAGGTCGCCGCCGACACAGAGCGGCTGCAGCGCGGCGCGCGCGTCGGGGTGCGCCGCCACGTGCGTCATGCTCAGCGCCAGCTGCTCGAACGTCGCGCCCTCCACCGCGATGCCGGCCACGCGCCGCTCGCGCTCCTCCGCGCTTAGCTCCGCGCACCGCATGATGCTGTCGTACTCGTCCGCCGCAGCCAGCACGCTCTGCAGGAACCTGCGCCCGAAACGTACTCATAACGAACTCGTAACGATACTCATTTAAAAAAGAAGAATAAACCGATGATGTCGTACCGATGCCTGATAGGATCGATCTCTTCTAAGCATTCGTTTGGTAATTCTTCGCCACACATGATTCTTAAGAAAGGTTCCGAGAGCGGTAGATCGACGAGTCGGCCGTCTTGCAAGACCTGAAAATTTCAAAATACTTCTGATAGTATCTCCTATTATCTCGAGAAAGTAGTAGATCAAATTAAAATCTTTACTTTAATACCTTAGCTAAAAATACTCCTAAGAACCAGAAATATTTGCAAATTTTATCACAGATCGGTGAATCTTGAGGCAGGGGTGATGGGAATAAACCACCTGCGCGCGTTACATAGTATCCCGGAGGCTTTTCTGTAAACGTAAAAGTAGAGTTAGAACCAGTTCACAGACATTAGCATTATCTATATTTTGTTGAAGAGCAGTGAACGTAGTATAGTACCGTCGGGTAAGACAAGATGGTGCGGCGCGCTGTCGAGGTCTGTATGCGTGGCGTCGTTGAGCCACATGCCGAGGTCTGCGCGCTGCAGCTCGGCGGCGACGAGCGCGTAGAACTCCAGCGTGGGCCCCAGCCCCGTGCCCTCCTCGCCCGCGAACTCCACCTCCAGCACCGACTTGCGTCCCGCGTGCACGCGCATTACCTGCCAAACATATATCCATTTAATGCTCCTAATTACGACACAGCTACTTATTTTTTACTAAAAGTCATAAAACATGAAAAGAGTGTTGGTGATAGATGGTGACATGAGAAACAAAATATTATTGTACCTGCATAGCTGATCGCAATAGATCGGGTTGGCGCGGTATTCGCACTCGCTCGTGTCGCAGTCGACCCATGCGGAACTCGGTCGCTTCTAACTCTGCGCGACGAGGCGACACAGTGTTACCAGATCTAAAATAGAAACGGCTCACGTGAACAAACTATGCACGAACACAATTTGTAATTTCAAGTTTTGTTTTAATTGGATTTCATAACAAGTACCTTTGTCTGTCGAGAGCACGATCCCTCTGAGCCTGAAGCCAGACAATAGTGCGGGACGTGCCGAAAGCAGTACAGGCGAAGAACATCTGGCGAGTCTCAAGTGGGAACAGGAACGGACACCAGTCGTTCAACTGCTGACACCTGCGGTTACAGTCAGTCAATTAGTCGAGCTCGCTGCGAGTTGGTGCAAAAGTATGCGTAGTGGCGTGGCAGGCGTACCAGAGCGGCGTGGCGGCGGCGGCCAGCGTGAGCGGGTCCTGCAGCTGCTGGTGCAGCTTGTTGGTGAGCTTCGTGGACACGAAGTGCTCGCCCGCCAGCGCCGGCGCCGCCGCGCGCAGCCGCCGCAGCACGCGCACGCAGCACGTCGCCATGGCGCCCTCCGCGCCCTCCGCGCCCGCGATGCCGCGCTCTGCGACAACACACTCCGTTACGTCTCGCTCGCCGCACCACTGCTTGTGTTACATCACGTCGTCCCTTGCACGATACATATTCCATTAGCTAAAAGTAAGTCTTACCTGGATCGCATGGTTCGTCATCCTCGCTGTCACTCGACGATGCGAACGTTTCCATTCCCTCGATTTCTTTGTAGGTCAATCTAAAAGATTAAAACGGTTGAAGTAGATTAGATATACGACTTATTTTTTTTTTATCATTTTATTATTATTGTATAGTTGAGTACGTGTAGGTGAGATCGCGATGCGTGTCGAGCAGCGGCAGTCGCGAGTTGAGCGCGAGCACGGCGCGGTAGAGCGTCCAGGAGGGGCGCTCCAGCGGAAGCGCGGCGCCGGCGGCGCTGAGCACGAGGCGCAGCGCGGGCAGGCGGCCGGCCGGCGCCGCCCCTGCGGCGGACGCGCCCGCTGTATCCGTGCTGCTACTTTCCTCTCCGTCCGACGATTCATTCAATGGGATTTCCAAATCTGTACAGCATAACAGACAACTCACGATGAGACAATATTCTCTATGCGCCTATGACTAAAGTGTTTTCCTTCCGCCTTGCTGATCTACTTACCGACGGTTTGATTCAAATTGGTTCTTCCTGGGCGAGGGTCGAAAGCTGGTATGAGTGCCGAAAACTGTCGCTTTAGCACAAAATCGTCGTCCCAAGGTTTACGCTGGCGGCTACCCTGTCCGCTGTTACCACGAACTGCTTCTAATGCTTCTTCCTCCATTAACGACAAAAGATTTCGTGAAACCTGAAAATGTGTAATTTAAGAATACATTGTACTAGGTGCATATACATTAATTGAAATTTGAGTGATGGGTATGAGCCTCTGTCGACGGCGAGCGGTACGATGACAGAAAATCCCTGTTTTTAATATGTTCATATTGAATGATCATATCTACAATGAGAAGTTGTACTTACTACCTCCTGATAAGTGGGTTCATTTTCCTTATCACTGTCCAGAGCGTCATCTCCCTCGTCATCATCTTCCAGCTCTGTAAGCAGGGCAGGCGCCCGGCAAGACTCCAGGAAGTCTTCTAACGACACCTGCAGCCACTTTTAATATTTATACCCTAGTTTAATATATTTCTAGTACTACAATATACAAGCAATAAACAAAATTGTGCAGAAATTGTACAGTACGAGTATTATACTCGTCATGTGCAAAATATATTAATTATAAGCCTCAACCACATCAACATTTGAAACTAGTTGTTTATGAGAAATGTTTACCTGTTCACTTTCACTAGATGTGGAGGTGAGAGACAGTGTGAGCGCGTTTTGAGCATTGGGTACTAGCGATGGATAGCTTTGGGCAGCCGATAGCAGACCTCCTGGGAAATTGCTTGATAGAGCTAAACGCACCAAACTGAAAAAACATGAAAAAGCATGTTATATAATCTTGTATCGCAGGTTTTGATATAAGTAATGAAATATTTTTCAAAACAATATCCTTACCTAGGGAAAAGACTAGTTGAGTGGTTAGTTCTTGCTGCGCGCTGCGGGTTGTTACCGCGTCCTGCGCCAGAACCACGACCAACTCCAAGCGATTCCAATAGTCTTGCGGCACCCTGTATTATACGCAAAGGATTAATTTATTCGTGTCTCCACAAAAAGAAATTCTTATTTGAGAGGAAAATCAAACGATGTTTCGTTTTTTCATTAAATAATTGAAAGCGTTATGTCATAAAATGTAACTCCTCAAAATATAAAAAAAAGGATAAAAACTAAACTTTAACACAAAAGATACATAAATGTAACCAATCACTGCTATAACAATAACGTTAATACCCTGTGTACAGCCCGCGCCAAACTTTGTGACCGCCCTGAATATAGTCGCGAGTCCGAACTTGCGCATGGTACAGTCGAGTGGGCAATACGTAATCAACCAATTTTCGTTTTCTAACATTTTTAATACTGGTCTATTACGTATATACTAATATTGGTTGATTACGTATTGCCCACTCGAGCGGCCACAAAGTTTGGCGAGAGCTGTAACTAATTCGTTTATTTATATGTTAGACAAGCATGTATCTCCATTAATATTACCTGTTGTGTTAAATCTGGTTCACTGGCGCTCATGGCCCCCGAGCCGCCCGACTGACTGTCCTTCTTGTGGTCGCCGTACTGACCATCGGCACCTTCGTTATCATCACACTGCAAACAACTCGTACGTTCAATGTCGTCACTCCAACGTAAAATGCTCAAGCCACAAAGATGTGACCATTAAACCACAACACACATTAAACTATTTTTAATCTTTATCTCTATTTGTGACATGTCCCAAACTCAAATGCCTTACATTTAAAACATCAACTTACCTCTTGACTAGTTGTTTCTGGAACCGGTTCTTTGGCTGGATATGGTTTGGTAATGTCAGTGATGCTTGTGGGTCCCATTTCCATGTTCGTAAACGATGTGTTGGCCAAATCAATGCAGTTATTGCTCTCAGCTCCTAAAGTTAGGGATTCAACTATTGTAGCCAGATCTGAAACAAAACAAGTAAAATAATATAACATACAGTTTGGTTTACTTCCTGAACATAAGACTTAAAACCAAATTCTCATCTATATATATATGTATATAAAAATGGATCGCAAAATGTGTTGGTAAGCGCATAACTCAACAACGCCTGAACCAATTTTGCTAATTATTTTTTTGTTATGTTTGTTATTGTCACGAGAGGGTTCTTATCATAGAAAATAATAGAAAAGTAGAGGGAAAAATTGGGAAAAAGTGACCCTTTGTTAGAGAGATAGTTGGACCCGTGCGAAGCGGGGGCGGGCCGCTAGTTTATTATATAGGATAAAGGTCATTCTAATCTTCTTCATAGTTGTAAGTTACAAATTTACAACATGAACTGCACATGTAACAATCAGGCAAATCCTCGTTATGATGGATAGTGTATCACAAATTGCAGCTAAGACTATTTATTACCTGTATTAATATGATGCGTGGAGTTATTGATGGCGGAGAGATCTGTGGCGTGAGTACGTGGCCGCGACATGTTGCTGGCCATCTCTTCGCTGGAGATGTTATCCGCCGACGACGCCTGCTCCGTCGACGCTACCGATACCTAGAAACGTACAAATTTGAGGAAAATACTGACTAAAAATAATCTCTACTGCAAACAGAAATACTTTTTAAATCAAATTATATCGTTACTAAACTAAAAAATGTAAGATTAGAATAAGGTATGACTTATGATTAACATATGGAGGGAGACATAAGAAAAAAAATAAAGGTAAAGAAAAAAAAGGGTACCTGATGGTCTACAGCAGTCGCATCGGGTAAACTAGGAGTGGAGTGGCTTTTGCGACCTTGTTTGGCCTCGCCACCAGTGGCGCCACCGCTCACCACTTTGAGATCAAATTTGCCTTCCGCACCCATGCGGTAAGAGTTGCGTCCGCCATGGTCCCACCTTTGACAAAATATAAGTTTAGATAAGTTTCAATATGAAAAATATTTTTTCTCAGCATAGACTTTTATGAATAGAACAAAAACATTAACTTAAAGCGTCCAAAATAGACTACAGAATATTTTACAACGTGTTGCTTTTGCTAGTAGGTAGAGAATGCGAGAACAGACCTGACATCGACCCAGCCGTTATGCAAGTCGGAGGTGACGGTGCCGAGCGCGGGATGAGGGCCGTCCTGGTCGCGCCACTTCCAGTCCGGGCCGCGCAATACACGCGCTCCAGCGCACACGCCGCGAGCGCCGCGCGACCAGCGCCGGGCGCGCGCCCCGCCCACTGCCGCGCCCACCGCCGAGCTAGCCCCGCCCATCTGACGCGGACCCACCTCGTTCACGCTCAGTACCTGTCAAAACCAATATAATTTCAATGCTGTTACCTCCAGCGCTCATTTTGTATCGTAACAATGATCCCAATACGCATTTCTTTAAATTCTCCTCTCTACTTAGGATAATTTTGCCATAATTACCTTGCCATAAATTTCAAGACCAGACAGTGACAAATAATGGCTTTGTCCACTAGCATTCTTTCCATTTTGTTGTATTCTCAGGAAGCGATATGGAGCGTCGGCTCGTATCCGCCACGTAGCCGTGCTACCTGGTTCCTGTAATGTTTGCTCATCGTTGTGAGCCAACAACGTAGTCCACGTCACACCATCAGCTGACATCTGAAACGTTTAGAAATATTAAATGCGTCATAAACCGGCAGCAGACTTTAGATTTAATAAATTGATTAAACCCATCGATACTTACTTGGAAGAGCCAATTTCTGAGAGCCGAGCGCCCATATCCACGAGCATGACGCATAGTGTATGCAGTAGGTATTACTTGCAAGCCCAAGTCTACGGCTATAAAAGCTCGTCTGTCATCATTGGTATGAACGTTCAAAGGTTCCGGTGACCTCGACAACACATCCTCGGCACGACCATAAGGTAACTGTCTCCCATCAGACGACCAAACACTGACTAAGCCATGTGCACCAGGGTTTACCCATTCGCAAGTACCCGCATTGCTACCGATGAAGTAAATAATCCCATTTTCGTCAAAATCATGCTAAAAATATGCAAATTATTGTCAGTTATGATATTTGATAAAAATTATAAAAAATAAAAATGTCTTCGAAGTTGCTTACATCATATGTGAATGTAATAGGTGCTTCTGCTTTAATTTTTTGCACAAAGTTGAAAGTGGCTCTGTCCATATCATACCACTGGCGAGCGACAGATTTGGCAAGAAATCTTTCCAGCTGTCGTACTGTTGTAAGCGCTTCAACTTTTAAATTCCGGCCAGCATTATTGCCGTTATTCGACATTGTATCTTCTGTAGCTTCATCGTTAGCACGTTCTACACGCAATCTGAAATAAAATGTGATTAAAATAAAATATTTGGTACATTTAAATTGCTGCAAGTTACGAATTCAAAGGCGTGCAAAGATGGCCGTTGACAGAAATGGACATTCTAACAAAAACTTTGTCCCACACTATGGATGTTCTCCTGTGTTGTGGGTACGTTTACAAACATACAATTTCACATACACATCACATCCAGACCCGGAACAACAATTTGTGGATCACTCAAAGAGTTGTTCCGTACGGGAATCGAAACCGCGACACGTGCGACAGCCACCACGCCAAACGTGCATTCATTAAAAAAGTAAACAATACTGTCAATATTGTTAAAAGTGGTGGATTAGCATGAATGCAAGGCCTGTAATATTGGATGTATCAGCAGAAGTGTGTGTAGTGACCGGATGCGCTTGGTGAGATGGTGCAGCGTGCCGGCGGAGGGGGGCGGCGCGTCCCCGTGCGGCGCGTGCACGGGCAGACGCTCGACGGACTCCAGCACGGCCACGAGGCGCGCCGCCAGCACGCCGCCCGCCGCGCCGCCGCGCCGCCCCATCCACGACCGCACCAGCCGCGCGCGCGCCGCCGCCTGTCCCGGCGCGTCTGGAACCACACCACGACCTTTATATGTAACCGCGTATTCACACTCGGTATCCTTCGCTGCTTGTCGCTGCTAGAAACATTCCCTAAAGATTCTGTGACAATCATGACGCGCCTAGGAGCAATAAAGTACGTCGGGTACGCAAGTCGGGGTTGCGGGTTCAGCGCAAGTCACCGCGGCCTTGGCCCAGAGCAGGAGAAGGAACGGGGGTTTTTAGTTAGTAAGAGTCTGACACTCTCTCTCGCCTAACCCTGGGCAAGATAAGTCATTTGTTGATTTTGCCCTGACAAAAAAAAGGTACGCAAGTCAGGTAACACAATTCCTTACCAAAATATTTTTTTATTAGTAAAACAAAAACATCGGCCAGTTAAATTGCAAAACTACTTCCTTGTTTTGTAGAGATGATGACCACTCAACTTCGTTTTGCCGATGATATAGTTACAATGGCAGAGTCTTTGGGAGACCTTGAGAGTCCTTGAGAGTCTTTGGGAGAGTCTTGGTTCGATAACCGGTACAGGTGCTTACATGGACATCGTTACAAGGATATCGTTCCCAACGATTTGGGAACGATATCCTCAACGTTGTAGACCACTTTAGGTACATATCTAGGACAGATTATCTAGCTAGACAGGTCCAAAATCGATAAAATAAAACCATCCAATTCGGAAAGGCAACGTTCGGGAAATTACTCAAGAACTTACACTATAGAAAATAGCACAGTATCTGAAGATTTATACATAAGACCTATGTAAAAAACCTAAGCCTACTAAAACAACATGCAAACGCGCTACTCGCCCCTACAATTTTTGAAATTTCCCTTCGATATCTTTGGTCTTCCATTGATCCTGATTTCCTTGTCATAGGACCATTCTGGGACTATCTCCTTTCCAACAAGAATAAATTATCAAAATCGTTTTATAAACAACGGAGATATCGGCGAACAAACATAAAAAACATATATACGGTCAAATTGAGAACATTCCTCCTTTTTGGAAGTCGGTTAAAAAATACACTATATTAGGTGTCTTAAAATGTTATTTGCACTTACCATTAGCCTGTGGGGAAAGAACTTGCAACAAGGATGGTGCTAATCCAGACGACTGCAATTCGTAAGCGGAGAGGAGTTCGTCACCGCACAATAACTCGCTGAGCTGGTCCAAAGACTCATTCAGCTCGTTTTGCCAATCATCTGTACACAATAAATATTTTACAGTCAATGATGATTATTTTACACACAAAAATATTTCGTCCTGATAAAAAAATATTTATACAGATGTAAATATTAGATAATGTAATGAGGCCATCCATAAAGTACGTCACATTCATTGCATGATTTTAGTCACACCATGTCATACTTTGTGACGACTCCCCCCCCCCCCCCCCCCTCCTTTACGTGTGACGTACTTTATAGATAACCCCTATATAATTGGGTAGTTTCCTAGGTCAAAAATAAATTAATTCGACGTTTCAATACAATAAAATATTCAAATAGATGGTGTTATCTGACCGTTGGGCTGCGTGGCGAGGCGCTGCATGCGCGCGAGCAGGGCGCGCAGGCGGGCCACGGGCGGCCGCGGCTGCCGCGTCGCCGCGTTCGCCAGGTGCCGCGAGTACAGCGCGCGGGCTCGCTCGCATACCTACGACGCGGGACAAACATTCTTTACCATTACATACATCTATTTACACAATGACGTATTATATATAGACACGTCATGAACCAACATCGCGGCGCTTAAAAACGGCGAAAATACTAGATAACTACTTCTACGAATAAAGAAAGACAAAGAAAATATGAGATCGTATAGTGGAATGCCTTTGCTAGAGGGAGATAAATATACATCTTAAGTTACATCGGCACGTGACCACAGTAAAAATGGCCGCCATAAGATGGCGGGCGCAACGTCGAAAAAATAAAATAAAAATAGGTTGTTTGGTGAACTTACGCATGAAATGACACATTTTTGTCTTTAACTTTTGGAGTATAATTTGTACATCGTCTGAACACAGACGACGGCATGCTTTCTTTATGTTTCGCACAGGTTTACACACACGATATAAATTAAAAACAAACGTAGTGTCGCGCGGCAGGTTAGTGCGTAACTAAGCGCGATGTTGTCAATTGCCTTCATTTCATGTTGTCATTTTAGAGCGCGGACAACGTATCTATAGTTTTATACATCATTGTATTTACACATCAAACTCAACTAATTAAGCCGTGTATCAAAAAGGGTCACTGGGGACAAGGGGACTGTAAAAGGATTTGGCCTACAGTAAAAAACTTTTTAAATTTTATTACTGAGACAGAGATCTTGTGTCTTATGTATGTATTATGTATCTTTAACAGATATTCACATAACTCACCATACACTTAGCTTTATGTTAGTATAATCGACAAACCTGTGCTTTCAATGCCTCTGCTTTAGCTGCTAGTCGCGAACGGCTTGCATTCACCGCGTTATGAGGCGTCACATTCCTGCGGTCGGTCCAGCCGCTTGCCAACTCAGGTCCTAATAAAAGATAATATAAAAATTATCAAAAAAATATAAAAAAAAATGGAAAAACAAAATTAGCTTTTGGAATTTTATATCAACAACAACAGTTTAACACTAAATTCCTACCTAAAAATGTTTCCGCAGTGAATGAATGCTTAGTGCCCCTATTTGATTCGAATATAAAGCCAGGTAAGTCTTCTCTGAGAATGGTAGTCTGTTGCTGACCATCTGTATTGTGGATTTGAAGTTCCTTTTCCCTATAACAAAACACAACAAAATTAAAAATATACTATCGAAAAAAATGGTACGTACAAAAACATGTGATGAAGATGTTTGTGAATGTTTTACTTACTTTTTTGATGAGAGAGACCAATTGCCTATTATCAGTTTGGATGGCCCAGGTTTCGAGAGGATCGGTTGAGGGATTGTATTCTTCACAGAAGCTCGCGCTCTTTGCAGTTTATCTATAAACTCTCCACGATTTTCTGAAACCATCGTAAATACATAAATGTAAAAGTCACGCCAAGGAAAGAAGGTAGTTGAGGAGGAGGAGGAGGTAAGGGGTTGTGTACCGGTGTTGTCGGTCTGATGCTCGGGGCTGCCGCTGGAGTACATGGTGGCCAGCTTGCCGTCGAGCAGGAAGCGGAACCAGCCGTTGCTGCCCGTGCTGAGCTCGAGCGCGGCCGCGTCGCTCCACACGTAGAGCGCGTCGCGGCCGCGGCACAGCGCCCACTCGGCCCACGAGTAGCCCACGCCGCTCGCCAGGCACGACGCGTCCTCGCTGCTGCCTGCAGCCAGACACGCGTTACTACACTAGCTCTCGCGGCACCAGGTTGCTACTAGTAGCACGGCACTCACCGGCAATGCTGGAACTTTCACTGTCCGACGTCAAGAAAGCGGCCGGAGCGGCGGCCAGACTCTCCACTTTGCTGAAGACGCCGAGACGCGCAAACTGTTCCAGATATATGTCCGAAGCCTTCACCATCAACTCCTCGGCTATACCGAGAACTATGAGATGGCCGTCGTCGTCATCCTATATGCAATCATTTACTTTATTCTCAATCAAAATACCAAGTTTTTTATGATTTATGAAACTTACGACATGTAATTTTATTTTAACGCCTTCATGACATTAATCAGTAATCATAAATCAGTGAAACACAAAATACAAAAATAAAAATACACTTCTCACTTATTAATTAATGTGTTTTCTTAGTCGAAAGTTAGAACAAAATGAGTTCACGGTCTAATGTGAAATACGCAACACGCGATGTTTATTGGATATATTAATGAATTAAATAGGAACACATTTTCATCTGTTATACTTAAAAACTGTTACGTGAGAACAGAATACTTTAAAATTTAAAATAAAAAATACACAATTTTTATCATGAGAAGTGCATTATTATTACACAAACATAATAAACACAACAGAAGGATTTTTGATGCAGGTAAATTTCGATGGTGTGATGTCTTTACAGAAATGTAAATGCGTTCAAGAATACATGATTGTGAGAAAAACAAGAAACCAGTATTTCAAAACTCAGCACAATTATAACAAAATAAAAGAAAATAAATTATTAGTCTTATGATTATGGCATTTGACACAAGTTGTATATGTATCAGCATTCTAGAATCTAAACTGAGCGCAGTTGATGGCATCGGCGGATACAAGCCAAAACATTATTTCAATATCAAAACAATACACATAGACAAAATCCGTGCAACAGTGTCTCAAGCAATATGAGGGTACGGCTCTAAAACCAATTAAATTTTATGTCATTTATTGGAAGAAGACTTCATAAGTGGTACAGAATTAGTAAATACACGGGAAAAATAAACTAGAAGTTAAACAGATTTCAGACAGCTTAAAAGAAGGGATTCTAATGCAAATAAATAACGTTCAGTATTATTTTTAAGATCGAAGCGCTTCGGAGGAAAAGAAATTTTGAGCCAATAGCGAGTCATTTTAGAGCCGGTGCTCACGGTCAGGTCGTTGGGAGCATCACACCATCGTAACGTTACCGCAGGCGGGCGGATATAGCGGCAGCGCAGCAGTCGCGGGCCCGCGCGCCGCGCGCCGCCCAGCTCGCCCTGCACACACACTACGTCAGCTGCGGCCGCCCCGCGCCGCGCCCCGCGCCGCGCCCCGCCCTCGCGCCCCCACTCACCGCGTTGTCCAGCACGGCGGCCACCAGCTGCGTGAGCAGCGCGGCGGCGGGCGGGTCCCGGCGCAGCGACAGCGCGCGCAGCAGACGCGGCGGCGCGTAGTGCACCATCTTGCGCACCAGCGACAGACAGGCGCGCCGCACGCCCGCGCCGCCCGCGCCCAGGTAGCGCGCGCAGAACACCGGCACCAGGCGTCTGCACACAACAATCCTCGTTTTCACTGACACCTTACTCCCATTTCGACACATTTTCACAGTACATCTCCCCTACAAATTTCAACGCGACAGGAATCTAACAAAAATAGTTCTTACTCGAGGTATACTGCTGCCATTTCCTTATCGCCAGTTTCAGGAAAATCGTCATCATTCGTTGGCGAAGGCGAATCATGGTTACCGACCACCAACCACTCTCCAGGACACTGCAAAATCGCTGCCACTTCTCTATGACCTAGATTTTAAAAAAAATTTTAACACTTTGATACTATTTTAAATAACTTTAATATTGTTATAATGATACAAAAATATTCACCTTGATCGTGTCTTTCACGGGCTTTATCGAGAGGAGTTTTTCCATCTTCGTCGCGTAAGTCAGCATTTGCACCATAACGAAGTAGCACTTTAGCAATAGCAGGACGACCGAAGCAAGCGGCGTAATGCAAAGATGAACTACGTTGACCACGATTCACGTCAGCACCTATGATGAGATTTAAGCCCATTACGATATTTAAGCATTAATTCTTCCCAAAATATTGTACATTTATTAAGTAGTGCAAGGTCACTCGTATGCTGAACATACGAGTGACCTTGCACTACTGCTATGCTTACCTTTCTCGCACAAGAATTCGACCATTTCTCTAGTGCCGAAAGCTGAGGCCCAGTTGAGTAGGGTTTGTCCGACGTCATCAGTAAAGTTGACATCGACCGCGCCGCTAGAGACGGCGGCCAGTAGGGCGTCAGTGTCCTTCCCGCGGATGCAGTCGATGAGCTGGCGGTGCGACTTGTCCCCGCGCGCGCCGCTGCCGCCGCCCGACGAGCCTTCGCCGCTGGCTCCGCCCGAAGCACTCGACCCCGACGTCGAGCTACCGTTACGGTTTGACCCACTGATGCACAACCACAATGTATCAAAACAAAAAAAACGAGGACGACTACAATCGTAAAATATGTTCCAAAAGCTTATTATTTGATAACAAGTTAAATATATAAAGAATTAGTATTTAACCTATTTAATTCAAATGTTTAAGCTTAAAAATAAATTGTTAACAAATACTTAATTATTGTTCCTTAAATAACACAAATAAAGTAACTAAGTACTTGATTCAGCTTTTATTTTCTTATTTTCGTATGTGTATTGTGCATAAAACTAAATAGTAAATAAATAAAAGATTATAAGAAGAAGGAAACTTACTTCTGTATAGCATGTCGTCCTTCACACAAGAGAACAAGCAGCAAGTCCACAAGCCGCATACATTCGAGACACCAACGCTCATCGGCCTGTACCGCCGCCTCCACAGCTGAGCATAACTCCAAGCGGACAAGGTCCTACATAAAAATATAGTGATCAAAACCAAATATACGTATGACAAAAAGATAACAAGGTGTTTGTTGTGTATTAAAAAGGACGCAATAAAAGTATCGTTAACTTACATGAGTAATTTGAGCTGATCCTCGGCACAGTGTAGACAGCAAGCTTACAGTAGTGGATACAGCTGGAGCTGAACATTTATCATCACCACTCTCAGCACTACCCAGACGGCGCACCAATTCTTCTATTAGACCTGTTTATATAATGTTTAATAATATTACTCAACATGTTATTATGTTTTTTTTCCTTATTTCAAACAATTATCTAAAGAAAAGCATCCATACTATCAATCAATATACATTATTTACAATTGAAGAATTTTAAACAGTGATAAATAGCTACATTCCTAAACAAAACGAGAAAAACATACCATGTTCAGCGAGAGGAGCCGGATCAGCATGCGCACGCGCAAATCTGTCAGCTAGCGACGCGAAACAGCGCAGCGCTGCGTCAGCAACCCGCGCGTCATTGTGACGTAGAAGTGCTGATAGAGACGAAACTGCATCACCCACGCGAGCATCACCTGGCTCCATTTTCCCGCATACCCTATAAAAGTTATTATTATTCATGAAATGATATAACTTCATGACCAAATAATATACGAAAATCGTTGACATTGTTTTAATGTTAACTACAAACCTTGATACTACTGCCATAGCTGAGTGTAGAGTGTCTTTGTGCACTGATGTACCATGATGTGTGATGAAGTGTAAAACTGCAGGAAGGCCACCACCTTCCCAAACAGCACCTGCTTCCCTAGTGCAAACTAACTCCAACACCTGTGATTAAAAACACCATGGAGTAAAAGTAAGGCTTGATAAAATGATAATGTCTAAAATACTATAGCCCAAATACTTACTTTAATGCACTGTTCTGCGAGATCCTTGCTGGTACGATTGTTGGGATCAACAGTAAGCAATCTGCTGCAAATTGCTTTGACTGCTCCTTCAATAGCCACAATTCTTCTTGTGCACTCCGCTGTAATAATATTTTTATGCTCAGTATCTCATAATTGAATAGTGTAATAAATAAAGAGGCTTGCAATGACATTTTCTAAGATGGTAGTGGTGGTAGTAGAAAGAACTTCACACAAACTGACTTATTTATGCATATGAGTACCATGACTATAAATAACACTCTTTAGTTCTATCATAACAATCTTAAAAGCATTCAAAGCAAATTACCAGAAACATCCAGATAGTATGTGATAGCTCTGGCTGTCACTTCCAATACATTGTCAGGTGCACATTCATCTAAGAAGATTTTACATAATGCTGGGAGAAATGTTCGAGGAGGGCAGCTGAAAAGTAAAAATTTATTATTTAACATATTTTAATCTATTCCCAATTTGAGTATTATGCTGAGTAAAAAAATAATAATAGTCAAATTAAAAGTAAGTACCTAAAATCTGTGTAATTTTAAACTGTCAAGTAAAATTAATCTACATTGTTGAAAAACTGATGCCAGAAACATATTAATGTTCATTATATCACATCACATCTCATCATCACATCATCAGCCTGCCTATAGTTGCCCACTGCTAAGCAACTTATATCACATGCAGAATGTAAATATTAGGAACAGGGTGCATAATTTGTTTACTTAAAAATTTCAACATTTCACCAACTGTATAAAAAATCTATTATCCATGCTTCATAGAGTTGGACATGTTGAGATGAATGAAGCCAAATAATATTATTAATATGAAGGGCTGTAATTTCCTCTTCTTAGAACCGAAAACTTGGTTTTGTATAATGAACCGAAAATCTATTTATTTCCTTTGTTACCATAATACAATTTACAATATGCAAATAATAGATCTTATGTTTTGAGCTATTGCATTCTTTCTTATCCCACTACATTTTTATCTAAGCACATGTTAGTCACAGCAGGGTATGTCAAGAGTATCAACAATGATAATGAGTGTAATAGTTAGCAGTCCAAAAATGCCACACTATTCAAAAGAATGTGACTAACAAACACTTTCAAAACATTGCTTAAAACAAATCAATTTTTTTATAGTAGTTTAAAATAAATTTCACAAACTTATCTTTAAGCAATTTGTTAGATATTCTAATGCAGACTAGGTAACTCAGACTAAATTTCTGCAGGTTTGCAGAAAATACCATGGCAACCGTGTTTCATAATTGGAACAGGTGTTATTGCTGTTTATTTTAAAGAGCCGTCAAAAGCTTCTAATATAAAATATGTAGTTGTAGTAATGAATATAATTATACAGTCTTGGCAAAGTGATACATTACTATCACTCTAGATGTCATAGTTCATTCGTGCACTTTTGTACCTTTATGTCAACCTCTGACTCAAGTTATAAATTGTTTATATACATACATTAATATTAATGAAAATTATATTATCAAACATCATAATTAACTCTTGTATTGGAAAACAAGAGGCTGCAATAAAAGCATTTCTAAGTTCATTACATATTGATACAGCTATAGCACAACTGCTACCCTACCTTTCGAAGCATCGGTCCACATTATCGGACATGAGAAGCAGCATACACAGCTGTTCAAGGGCAATGAGCTGCATATCACGCTCATCACCCTGCCCAGTCAGCAACCATTCTAAAAGGGTTTCTGGATCCACTTCCGCCATCTATTTTGAGAAAACATTCTATTATAGAACTTACTTAATATTATATAATCATTTAGTTACAAAAACATTTAGCTACCTTCTTGATTTAGTGGCCCAGGTCACCTGTAATAGGAATATTTGTTTGTGAAAGCTGACATACTAATAAATAAAATGAGAAATGAGCAGTCAGTGTTGTGATGTCTTTGTTAAAACTGTGAAGGTTAAAGTATTACAATAAAATAAGGATGGAGTAAATAGTAACAAAATTGGTTCAATGAACTGGAGCAACACATTAATGCTATACAACTTCAATTTTTTCACATCTTTTGAGAGACTGTTAAAATAAAGCTCATGGATAGAGAAAAATATTGTGACACAGATTTTAAAATATTGTATCTATGTAGGTTACGGAATATTACGACTCTGTGAATATGAACAGAATGGACCTTTCTCTTTCGTTATATTAAAACGAGTGATCACAAAGGCCATGAAAGAAATATAGCAAAGATATAATACAGTAAACAGAAAATAATAATCAAAAACATAAACAATGATAAAATAAGCACAATAAATAAATAAAGTTTTAGGGCAAGAGTGAAGGTGACAATGTATTTCTTACCACTTGCAATCAAATCACACTAATCATCGATGTCAAATAAAATCCACTACAAATTATTGAATAAAATCTAAAGCTCAAGTTATTATAACACCAAGCAGTTACTACAACGCAATTAAATCGCACAAGATTTTCTAAAATCTCTTGACACCAAAATCATCAATCGCCATTCCCACAGATGAAATAAGAAAATAAAATAGAAGTGAATGATTTTTTGTGAAATTATTTTAGGTTGGCAAACTGTTTATGGTGAACCATAGACAAAGTGAATGAACTTTACAATAGTATACCTACAATGCCACGCCACATTCAATGAGTTAAATACCCTCCGTTTTACACCGTCAGATGTCGCATAATCGCATATGCCTGAAGGCGTTAATATTATTATAGCGTCTGTGTATAGCGTGCTTTGTCGAGCCAGAAGCACGGGCATACAATACATTATTCATGGGATATTTGTAAAATGAGCAGACGCATCAGCTAACGATAAGCATTGGCGCCACCTACGGACCCTCTTACCACCCAAGGAGTTAGTTGCCGGCCTTTGTGGTTAGGAATTCAACGATTGGAAATTTGAGCCTCCGAAACTGAATAGTAAATGGGGAACATACATATATTATAATGTAGTAAATTACTAGATACACAAGGTTACGTGCCGAAACACAACAAAAGAGTAGTTTCAAGCCTGCTTCTATGAGCTAGTTCTAGTTCATTTGTGCCGAACGATCACTCAAACGTGTCGTGTCGGTTCGCGTGCTGTCAAATTTAGCAAACCGGGGCGTTCCGAAGCTTTAGCGCGGCCGCTATCTATTCTAAATTCTGGGGATCTACGCGTGACACATGCCTTATTTAACACAAGGAGAAATCATTAGAACTGTCGTAATGAGAATTAATGGTGAAATCTATCTACAGACTTTCCGGACATGAATCCAATTGAGCACATTTTGGTCATATTTCAGCCGTTTTTAAGTGAAAGAATAACAAACATACATCCATACATTCTCATAAACTTTCACATTTATAATATGTGTAGGACAGAAGGACAGTAGGATTTGTAGGATATGATAGGAGGACGGTAGGATGTACGCAAAGTAATGGATCTATAGAGTGATTAAAAAAATAACCGAGGATATCTCATCGAATATTATTTTATCCGGCGTTGATATTTAGGTATATTTCTCTCTTTTTCCTCGTGAAATTTAAATATCATCCTTACAAATACGTAGAACTATATTTCGTGGTATTACACTGTTGGACCATTAATTGCTACCTTTTCTAAATAACTGTGCAGGGCAACAATCTCCACACATTCATATTTCCCTTATTCTCATTGAACTATTTGGTTATATCCATTAGTTGCTAAGCGACCAAACACAACGCGTAAAAGTAAACACAAACACTGAAAGGCTAACTTTAAATAAAATAAGCTAAAACGTTTTATTATTAGTTGTTAAGAGTGACATAATATAATAAACAATATAGTAACAAATACAAATCATGTTATCAATTCCAGAAATAGCCACGCAATTAATTGATAAAACACTTACAAATGTGGACGAAATTAACTCTCGAACAATCTTTCTTGTTGGCAGCAAATCTGTTGTAAGTGATATATTTGTTGTGTGCATTTTGATTATTTCTTTGGTAACCTCTTGTTCAAGTCCCTTTGGTATCAAGCCTACTGCCGCAGCAAAGTGATTGATTTTTTATTTTCAAACTTCCTGTTACCCTCATGTAATACGAGTCTAAACCAGATAAACGGCAAAAGTCATGTTTTTATGATGTAATGAAAATAAAAATCCTAATATTGTAGGATTGACTATAAAAAGAAACAACCGCTTATTGTGTTCCCCAAAAAAACACGAGGAAGAGGAAAGAATAAATAATTGTAAGTACAGTAGGCAACATTAATCTCTAGATTAGGAAATAATCTTAACTTTAATAATTTTAGGGAAAAACAACGTTGTTATATTCTTTTTTGGAGAAAAATGACCCACCGCGGGAGACACTTGTAGTGGAATACTCTTTTGGGAGAAAATCAAATCAAAAACAAGGGATAGACAAAACTCTATGTCATATTTGGGAATATGGTGGCAAATTAGAGACGTTGAGTAATGTCCTACAATCAACACCTATATGCGGCAAGTTTTTCTTTTGCATAATGGTTGATCTAAGTAAAATTAAAAATATATGGGAGACTCTGGAGACCTGTATTCAAGTTATGAATGATGTTTTTTCAACAACTAATAATTCGCCCGAATTAATAATAATTGGTGGAAAATACGATCTTTTCAAGAATTACGGTGAGATACTTGTATTTTTAATATTTACCAATAATTTTCACTGTCCTGTGCAACGCTATCTGTAATGAAGAATGTTTTTTTTTTCAGATAGCGAAATTAAGAAATTTATCTGCACGACGCTAAGAAGTATAGCGTTGCTCAATCATGCACACTTGTTGTTTTATTCATCTAAAGAACCACAACTCCTCAGACGCGCTAAAGATATGCTGTTTAACATAGGTTTCGGAAATTGTGTTCCTATCAAAGAAAAGAACACTAACTACACGAAGCCTTTATTCATTTCGAAAGATTCCGATAATTGGGAAAGTATGGGTATTCCGGCTTCTACAATAGATCAAGTGAGTTTTACTAATTAGCTACTATTGAAATACTACAACTCAATATCGTAGAAGCTATAGCTTAGTAACATAGCACCTACGAACTGGAACCATAGCAGCTATTGCTAAGTACCATAGAAACTAAGGCATGTTTTTGTAATAACACACGGCATATTTAGCAGCAAAGTATCGCATAGTACCATAACCACAATGACGTAGTACCGTAGCACCCATGGCGTAGCATTGATGTAACTACGGCGTAGTAATGTAGCCACTTCTACGTAGTATCGTAGCAACTACAACTTTGAACTATGAGTACCGTAGTAATATGTCAGTAACGTGCGTTGTAAGGCAAAACTGCCACTTGTAGATTTTATTTAATCATTAAGTTGTAGAGCAGTGTTAAGTATTTTGAATAAGGATATAATTATGAATTACTTATTCCAGGTGAAGGTTAGACATATGTCCAGAATACCGCCTAATGCAGAGAGTAGTATATCCAACTCTCATACAGTGTCGTCACAAATGAATGCTCATCCTGAGGCTCCTCTGGATTCCCTGGTTGTTCTTAAATACAATGAACTACGTAATATGGAATCATTGGACATTCCAATCGATTATTTACTATCTTTAAATAAATAAAATTTGAACTTTATAAGTTGTTTTGATCCTGAAAAACTGCGTAGTCCTGATAGCGCAGTTCCTTTTTGAAACAATGAAACAATGAATTTATTTTTGCAAATAGGCCATAAAACGGCACTTTTACACGTCAATTTTTATGTAAAAAACTAGATGAAGCCGGCATTTCCTATCTGACTACTCTGAGAAGAAATGCCGAAACAAACTCAGAGGTCAGTCTCTTTTCAAGTCCAGACAATGTAAAAATAACATAATGTGAGAGAACCGTGCAAGTTCATTCTGTAGTGGTCTTTTGATGAAAGAACCACACCAGTTTAAGTGGACCCGTTCTGAAGACAGGCACGCAAGTGTCAGTTTGCAACCAGCATTTTTGGTTATCTACATCATTGAATTTAATCGTCATTGCGCATTATAGATTCATTTCTTGCTCCGCCTAAGATACTTGTTGAACTAAAAAAGATGCGTAATTGTGTTACGTTTTTATTATTATTACTTAGTAGGTAAGTATTTTATTATATAATACATTAGGTGGCATTCTTCCTCCTCGCACGTAGTCTTGCATCTAGGGCTTGCAACGCATGTTGAGAAGCTTCATTCTTTGAGTCTATTGCCAGGCTTACTTGAAGGCATCTATAAGCTAATGTTACGTCACCCGTTGACTGAAAATAAACGTAAATGGTAAAAGTTTAGCAATAAAAGACATTTTAATTTATTCATAGGCATTATAATATGGACAGAATGAATTACCAGGGCCACATGAGCAAGATTAAACCAAATATTTGAACGAATATCGGCATCTGCTGAGAAGTAGAGAGCCTGACGAAAACATGGTATTGTCAAATCCCATTGATTGCAGTACAAACAGCAGAGCCCTAAATTATTGTATATTTCTGGTCCCGCCGGATTTGTGGCTAACAATCTTCTGCAGATAATGAAAAAATACATATATTATAATCTAAATTATTTATAAAATCTTACAGTAAAATGTACCTACCCTTAGTTTGTCTTACCTATAATATCTCAAAGCAATTTCCGGTTGATCATTATAAAAATTATACATTGCTATGTTTGCTATAGCCTCCATGTTAGACGGATCTTCTAAAGCTACCAATCGATACTCCTTCACTGCCAGTGCGGAGTTACCCATCTGCTCGTGGATTCTTGCTTGCTCAATTAATAATGGCGTATACTCATGAAACACTGACAGCCCTTGTTTACAGATATCTAATGCCGATATTGGTTGATTTAATCCCACATACATTGCTACAAGCCTGAGGTATATGGATATGTGTTTGTTTTGTTTAAGTGCTTGACGTAAACAATCTTCAGTGTTCCTGTACATCCCGAGTGCATAATAACATCGAGCAAGTGAGAAATTCCACCACCAATCTGTTAGTGCCTCATCAGACTTCTGTGCTTGAAATGCCACTTCCATAGCCTGTCGAAATATTTATGAACAAAATGACAATGCAAGCAAACTGTGGTTTTACTGAGAATACATGAAATATTTAGACACATAATTATGTACATATCTACGACACCTACATATGAGCCTAAATAAGCTATTATTTTGAATGTTCACATAATATGTTAAGTCCTTAAAAACCAATCCAATTCATGAGCTCGATTTAACGAATTAAGATATTATGTTATATTAGGTACTAGAAATTGAGTGATAGTGATATTGAATGATACCTGACATGAAGGTATGTAGTTAGGTATACTTTACCTTTCTAACATCACCTTCACAGTAAAACACATATTCAAAAAGTGTTTTCGAAGCCGGAATAAACAGTTTGTCTTCTTTTGAAAGAAATCTTAAAGATAATGGTGCTCCTGGGGTGTAGGGTGCCCCACCGGCGAGCGCCGTGGCTGCGCGGGACATCCGCGATGCCGTGTTAAGTGCTGTACGAACGCTGCGCGCCCCAGCCGTGCTGGTTCCTGCACGGGATCGTACCGTGGCTGTCGCTTTTTTCTTAAATAACAAGAAGAATTAATATTTATCACATGTTTTATGAAGTGATAGCATAAATAGTCAACAAGGTGTAGAAGAATAATGTCTAATTACCTGATATGATGTTTCAATATTACGGGATGTTTTTGTATCCCGTAAAAATGAAGTACCCGGTCTCGGAGTCTTAGCTACTGCCGTTGATATTAAGTCATCTTGCTGAGGGTAATATTCTACCTCTTCATATCCATTACCAACAATCTTCGCTTGTATAGTCATAGCCCGCATTCGAACAAATTCTATCATTCGGTCATCTTTACTGCGTAAGGCCGTGTCACATAATCTAAGACATTCATCGAATTGCTTAGTTTTGTAAAGATTTAAAATTCTATATTCAATTTCCATCGCTTTGAAGTTCTAATGTTTTTGTTAAAGCTTCTCTTTACAAAGGGTGCTTAGCAACTGATTTGTCAACAAATGAATACATAGGTAGCTTAAGCTACATGCATACTTGTGTGTAGGTACCTATACATACATACCTATAGTATAGACGCCTTACATATTATGTATACATATATACATAATATGTAAGGCTTCTACTTATTAATATGCGCTCTGTTCATCCTATCCTATCCAGTCACCCATGGTACTATCGATAAGAGGTACGTATATATTTTTATGTGTTGCAAGTCTACGTTGTACCTAATGCAAGTATAAACATACTTACACCATAATTGAAGTAGTACTACTTAAGTAAGTATTTCTACACGAGGAACAATAGTAATGTAAGTACGTAAGGATTCACAAATTTAACACAGATCGTTGGTTTGTTTCCTATGCGCCCCATTGCCCCATAGCACTTTAACGTCCAGCGTCAGCAAAATTTATGAACTGAAAACAAACTCCCTTTTGTTCAGAGATTACCAACCTTTTTATGTAATAAACACTTTTTAACACGTTTACAGAGGTTTTAAATCTCTGTTAGTTGGGTAGGTCTGAAGGTCGGAAGATCACTGATCGAATCTACTTAAAACTGAAATGTAAATAATACAATAGTTTGACTACATTTGACTTTGTGGTCAGTGGCTGGGCAACTGGCTGCTGTGCGACGTGTCGCGGGCTCGATTCCCGCACGGAACATCATCACTTCGTGTGCTGCAACAATTCACAATTTTTTTTTTTCGTATATGGGTGGCCTGTGATTGTATATGAATTTGAATGGTTAAAAACGCACCCACGACACAGGAGAAGATCCTATCCTCCTAGTGTAGGGCAAAGTTTCAAATTAATAAAAGAGTTTGCAAGCATTTTTAGTCTAAAGCAGGTAAAAAAACTCGTAACGTTTTAAAATAGGTATCTACATCTCTTTAAAGGCTAGGTAGTACTAGAAGTATCTACAAAACATTTACAAAAATTAAGATACATGTGTACTTAATATATTACATTATTGTACACACAATTAATCTGACTTGACGATCTCTGCCAACAAGTAAGATAAAAGATACAACTTCGAGGAATGTTTTTCATTCGCAAACTGTAGTTTCAAAAGAATTACAATGCTTTTGAGGAGTCTGATCTTACTTATATCTCTCACCAACGTACTCACTGCAGAATCATGGAGGAAGCCTGGGTGCCACCGAATCGGTTGGTTTCGATACGAATAAAATATTTTTTTAGTTTATAACTCAAAATGGGTTTTTCGCAGCAATATTGTTCTTGGGATCAATTTAACTGATAAATATGTTATTCCAGGTCATACCAGAAACATAAGTATACCGGATTGCGTAGAATTCAAAATAACTACAAACGCTTGTCGCGGATTTTGCGAATCTTGGTCACTTCCTAGCATCATGTTAGGCTTCAAGCGACATCCCGTGACCTCGTTAGGTCAATGCTGCAACATAATGGAATCCGAAGACGTGAGTATATTTTTCTCTCTTTTATGAACTCTAGTACATACATACTGTCTCAGCAAAGCTAGTCTACACTTACCAGCTTAATTTCACCTTAAGGACCTACACTAGCATATTATCCTTGACAAATATAGGTAGGGTCTTTCATTACACATTGATCAACATCAGTTATCCTTGAGTTATAATTCAAGTTACCTCTTTAAACCAGTGACTATTAAACTAAGTTAACTTAAGTTAAGCATCTCCATTGTAAACCCTAAAACATAATCATGAGGCACAAACTCGGCACAGTTGATGTCATAACTGTGCAACCAACAAACTGTTTGTTGTTTCAGGTCTGGGTAGAGATGTAAAGTGTCCTTCAGGTTATATGTGACCGACTAATATGACGGAACATATTGGACATTTATCCAATTTGACCGGTCACTTATTGTCAGCAACGTCAGAATGATCGTTTTTTTTTATAAATAGACTTTATTCTTTAAAACTGCGGCAGTTTTAGAATCATCGAAGCTAACCGCTCAGGTCTGGGTGTGATTTGTAGAAATGTGAACTTGTATATTTGTAAATATACCCGACGACACGGGATAAAATTAGAAATTTATTATCTCTACTATTTTTTATAATAATCACCCCACTATAGGCTACGATTGCCTCATTAACTAATAATGATTTGTTAAACTGTCTATTAATTACCTCAGTACCTAACTGTCAAATTTCAAATATACCTACTTAAAATAGATTGTAACCTGGTTACGTTTCTTTATATTTTCAGGTACCAGTGAAGGTGTTATGCTTAGATGGAGAAAGAAACTTGATATTTAAATCTGCCGTAACGTGTGCCTGCTATCATTGTCAAAAAGAATAATAAAGAAAATTTGTATTACTTAGTTATTATGATAAAATTTGAACATATAATATTGATAATTTCCTGTGGTATCTAAAATTTTTATTGTAATGGTGATCTCCGAAATGTAAAGTGCCTAATATTAACTTATAAATAATGTAACTTGCAACATTTTTAATAAGTACGATTAAACATATCGAACCATATTTTGCTGTGTTTCTTTCTACGTGGGTCCCTTAGTATTTTATAATGTAGCCGCACCTCACGACTACATACCTACCAATACCATACTCAAAACCATGTACCAATTTACCTTATATATTTACCTTACCGACACCACCGAATACCTTACCATACCTCAAAACCAGATACCATATACCTTCAACCACAGAGTACATTTTAACAATAGGAAATAGAGACCAATCTTCGATGTCAAATTGGGTAACTACTAACAGCGCCATCTGTAATCCATGTTAGACAACATTTTTATTATATATATAACCATATCTATACTATGGATGTGCATCTATAGATTGTTGGTTGTTTTTCGTTACTGCTCAACTACGTGACTGAAACGAGTAGTAGACAGTGTAATTCACTTTAAATATTTTACAATTCTTATAGTGAATTACACTATCTACTGCTACAACAAAAAGAGGTATAAATGAAACAACATATTTGATGAAAATCTAGTTTATTTGTTTTTTCTATAGTACTCGCTTAACTTTTTAGCTTTAACTTGCAATTTGTTCTCATCATCATCAACATCTTTTCTCCCAGCTAATATTATATTGATATTTTTACAGTAATTAAAAATTATAAATCTAATAACAATATTAATTAAAAAATCGATTATTTTTTCTCTATTATACATTTTATAAATGTAAAATCAACAAAACTACTAACAGCTGTATTAATGATTAGCTTTAAATATAATTTTTCTATATTTTCTTTTGTTTGATTAAATCTTGCATATTGGAAATCAGCTCTATTAACTTCTTGCTGGGAGTGCAAAGCCATCGTCGACCTGCGTATTCCCTATATTTTATATACTCAATTTCATTTTTTTCCATTAATAGGTTACAACAATCTGTACAAGTTTTAAATATTTTAGATTTAATTTTCTTCAAAAAATATCCACTTATATATTGGAGAGGTCCAACAATACGGGGATCCCTTTCTTTAATTTCTATAGGTGTAAAATTAAATTCAATAATGTTTGAAAAATCAAACGATGAGCAGGTTGACGTTGTTTCTGCATTTTCGTTGATGGTGAGAGAATACAATGCATCGCAAAAGTCTTTTTCGCAGTTTCCGCGGGTGTGGACACTGCTTATATTATTTATTAATAATGTGGTGAAAGCCGATTCGAATTGGTCGCAGGTGGGATTAGTATTGCGGCACCCTTGGCTTCTTACCGCCCCAAAGAAATTTTCCAAGGGGTCCTGATTAAGATGCCGCAACCACACTGACGACACGTTAAACTCATTTTGTAGTTTATTTATTCTACTCAGTGTCCACACCCAATTGGTAATGGAGGGAACCGATTGTTTTTTACCATTCGATACAAATTTCATCGATTTAAAAATTTGTACTCCCTCAATCCAAATTTGGTGATGTGCCGAGTTTGGCGTTGCTGGCCCTAGTAAGGGTTTTGCATTTCTATTTTTCTGTCGACTGCCATTCACGGAGTCAAAGATATTGTCCATGAACAGCAGTAAATCAGCGGTGTCCTTACACTCAGCGGGAAGTATGTTCTTACCTGAAAAAAAAAATTGTATGACAGTTTAATCGCCTAAAGTTCTGAATTATATTTATTTTTGCAAACTACTTCAATTGATTTCAAACACGTAACAAGTATTTTTTCAAAACGTGACTGATTATAACACTTTCGTGAGATATTAGATTTTCCGGAATAGTACATTCGCTTGTTGCATATTCTAGTTATACAATAAAACAAATATATGGTATCTATCACACACACACACATATATATGTATCTATCTCGTTTTGACTCATATAAAATAAAGTCTGTTTGCTTTGCTTCTTGCACCGGCACAGCTCTGCATCACCCAAGGCTCGACTGGTAGAAAATGCTTAGGCATTAAGTCCGCCTATGTACCCGCCTTGTGCATGAAGTTTGAATAAATAAATAAAACATACATTACCTGCCAAGTATCCCATATTAGACGCCATAGTACGACTGAATATTTGTGAGGCAAATTTAACCTTCATTTATTAATTTTTAGAGGGTTGATATGATATTCCATTAATTTGGAATCAACCTAATGCCTTTGTAACCAGGGTTTTCTTTGAGAAGTAAATTTAAATGCGAACATTTTGCAATTTTTGTTACACCATCTTTGGTGAATTCTAAATCTTTGCACATAAAGTTATTTCTAATTCCTTTGAGGAGATGTCATCAGTGTCATCATCATCAGGTCATAAAGTGGTACAATTCTTGACCATTTATTAAAATTTTATTTTCTTTAGGCTCTTCACCTTTTCTCAAATAAATTCCCCTGTTCTCATTAATTAACAGTTTCAGAGCCTGTCTGTTATTAGCACCCTGGTCACATACAGTAGCAACAACTATGAACCCTGATTCTTGCAAACCTCTTATCACGTCCTTTATTTGTTGAGCTCGTTCAGGTCCCTTAGTAGCACTCGACGCGAATGTATATGATATTGCCTGCTTATAATTATAAATTAAGCCACGTAACATAAAGACTTGAGCATGATCTGCAAATTCAGTTTCCTGTTTTGCCCATTGTCAACAAGACTTGTGATTTATCTTTTCTCTCGTTATATGCAACATTGCTCTTCAAAGAAACTTCGTCAAACATAACAACACATAACCTTTGTTCTATTTTCATGTTGTCAGCTTTATTTTTCAATTGAGAGAAAATATTACTGTTTATCCCAGGCTTGATGTTACAATATTTGTACTAACTTAATTAGTGTTTGCTGAGCAGGCAAAATAAAAAAAATCTCAGAAATCTATATCCTTTGGGACTTTGCTTAAAAATAGATAAGGAAGCAATTTTTTCTTGTAACGTAAAACGTCGCTCCTTTCTTTTTTGTGGTCCTCTTGACATTGCATACTAATTAATAATTTTCTTGTACTCGTACAATTTTCTAGTATGTCGCATACTGCAGGGTTGGATGCAATTTGTTTCGCTGCTTTTACATTGACAGACAGTTTTTTCATTTTGCTTAACTTAATACTTGCAGCAACAAGTTTATCCTGCAGGTACTTTTCTGTATTCGTAAGGAATACTCGACTCTTAGCTTTCTTCACCGTTGTTTTTTCTCCTGTAATTATATAAATTAAATAAAGTTAATCTATTTATTCAAAACTTTTTTTAGTTATACACAAGATTTTATTTGCACAACTTACCTAGATTAAGATGCACATTCGTTTCTGAAGTACTTGGTAAGCAGCTTCTTGCATTGTAGCTGTGAGACCTGAAATGAATAATTGCACGAATTTATAACTTTTGTATATGGCGCCACTAAAATAAAGGAAAAAAATATATAAGTATAAAATGTAAACTTGAACAAAAACAATTTGAAGTCAACAATTGCAAAAAAATCCATAATTTGTTGGACAAACCCAAACTTATTAGTCTAACCACACTTTAAAATGTGCTTACTACGTTATATCTACATAGTACCCGAATGAATATGTTGTAGCGTAATAAGGACGGGGACTACAATGAGAAAGTGCCTGGGTGACTGAGATTCATTAATTTCTTTTTGTGCATTGTTTCAAGTAATGCATATAGGATACACACGATATTTAGTCAGGTCTACTGCACAAGCACTTATTTACTCATCAACAATAAGTAAATTAGCTTCTAGTTGTGCCCTTTAAAATGAGATACTTTAAATCATAACATTGGTATAGCTATTGTTTGGAGAATGAAGTGGACTCATTCAGGGATTTAATTAAATTATAATTACTTGAGGGTGATGGTCCATGGCCCAGATTTAGTTGTTGTGGCTAGTGGTTGAAGGAGGAGTCAACGGTGCTGAAAAAAAAAGCAAATATATATAGCACTTCAAATTATTTAGTAAAAAAAATTACATAATTATACGTTTTAGATGCTATGAAGTGAAATAAATCGATGATGGCATGATGACCAACTTTCTGGCTTCTGACTAAATGTAACAACCGTCAATGTCTTACGATTAACAACAGGCAGCTATACATAATTTTATGCTTTACAATGTCACCAATGTCCTCGATAAACTTGTAAAGTACATTGACATTGTACTAGCATTTGCTAGGTGTAGAACCCGGCAACCATGGGAAGAATTGGTGTCATTTATATTTACCTGATTATGTTGATTGTAGGTTCTGAATTTGCTGCAAAGGCTGTCTGGTGGTATTTATTAACGAAGTCCGAGACAGTAATGCTGAAAAAATAAAACATAGGTATTTGAATAAAGCAATTAATTACAAAGGCATTAAATATAAATTTTGTCATAACACTAGCCTGTGAGACACTTTTGTTTACGCAAAATAAGAATATTGGAATGTTTAAAATATATTGTAATATTAGGGTTTTGTAATATAAGTTCTTGTGTGGTTTAACTCTGTTAAAAATGTTATGGATGAACCACTCTTATCACTTAGGGGTAGGAATATTAGCCAATTTTTCAGATCTACTGAATGTGGATATAAAATTTGATAAAATTATTTCAGAGGAGTTAGTCACATTCTGACACAAGAATTTTATATACATATAAGAGTTTTTATGATATCAGTCTTAAAATGCTTACAATTCTGACATGTTGCATATGACAATGTAGCACTGGGGGTGTGTAACCTGGGGTGTTTATCCAAAAGTATTTGCAATATGTAGTGTTATACTTACAGCGCATTTTCAATGTTGGCACGGCAATATTACTGATTCTGTTGTTACGGCACAAATATTTATCCTCAAAGTGAGCATGACACACTCTATGGTTCAATATTTGTTCATTCTTCAAACAAGTTCAAGACTGTTAATTGCATACAGCCAAGTATTGAAGCCTTCTCTATCAACTACAGGATTCGGGAACCCATGAAGTACTTGATGCATACCTTAAATAAATAATAAAGTTTATCATTGAAAAATAATCAAATTCACACACATACATCAGCTGCATTGTCAAGATATCAACTTTATTATAAAATATGTAAACTTGCA